TCACATATATATATTTTTTTAAACAAAATCACGATGCGATTTAATCTGAAAATAAAACCCACTCATCTTCAACTTCTTCGCACACATCCATTTATTCACATAGAAACTCTATTCAAACTTTTAAAAAGTGTTCACAACAAATGGAACATTTATTCAGCTTTTTCATATCTTTCACACTTTTACACAATCGCAGTTCAAAATTCACAAAGAATTCAGCCCTTCTAAGACTTTTACATCGGTGTGTATTGTGCGAAATGTTCAGAGAAGATTTAAAACCATCTATAAATCTTGTCTTCAACTTGCTGTCATGGCCACAATTTTCACTACACAAACATCAAAACATAGGAAAAAAATTTCGGTCGCAGACATGTAGCCTAACTATGGAAGGAAAATAGACTGGGCACATTTTTGACTTTACACACACAAATCTCACCCACTGTGGGTCAGCAGGTTCTCTTATTTTGCATAATATCACCAATTAGGTGATAGAAGTGGCACTTTAGGCACTAGATGCATAATCATGAGAGGTGTGCTTCAGCTAAGATATCTTTAAAATGCAGCCTCTGACCCAGGAGTCACTACGCAGACACCATCACCATGGCAACCTTTCATTGTAGATGGGAGCACACAGCTGATTAAGGTGACCTAATTAACATGGTTTGACAGACAGGCAGTCAGACAGACAGTCAGACAGACAGGCAGGCAAATAGATACTTTTCAAGCATTGTTCTAGCTTTAATCTAAATTCCAATCTTATAATATTAAGCATCTTTAACATATGGCATTTATTCAACTTTTCAGTCCTATTCGTAGTATTTAGACTCTTTCCCACTTTCGAACTAGAATACTCCTTCAACTGCCTCAAAGAATTAAAGCCAGCAATTCACTATGGCGTCAGCTTTTCATCAAATCTTCACATACCACCTTTTCCATATTATTATTATTAATCAACTTTTGAAGTCAGCAATTCAGTTTAGCAGCCTTTCAGCAGTCAATATTTATACCAACAATTTGGGTCTGAGTAGTTGCTAGTAGTGAGGAGGTGGAGGGGTGCTGCAAAGCTCAGTAGAGCTGTGGCTCATAGTCAGAAAGTTCATGGTTCAAACCCTGACTGTCTAGGGCCAGCAGTGGATAGGTGTAGATGACTTTTTCTTGATTAGGAGTGGTTCCCAAAGGAAGTAGTTCGAGTCCTACCTTGCCCAAACAAACCATTCTGTATTTGGTTCAGAATATTTTTCAGCAGCATGTATACATAATACAAAACAATTACTTTTAACCATTTAAAACATTTAAAGTAAGAAATTAATCAAGATATTATCATGATAATATGATAATAAGACCTTATTGTTTAAAGGAGTACATAGTAATGCTACTTTTACATGCTGCTCCTGGTAAAGGTTGAATTGAACTTAATAATAATAACAACAAACATAGACTTTATTTATATAGCACAATTCATGCCTGAAACACAGGCAGCCCTATAATTAAAGGAATAATTCATTATTAAGATTATAATTATGCAAATAAGATACTTATTTCCAAATATTACGCAACTGTTAACTTATCATGGGCCTTTAGGCTTCAACAATCATTTATTGTAGAGATGTTTGAGCATACAGCTGAGCATACAAATATAAATGTTTGATTATTTAGTTTTCTGTCACTTCTACTTTCTAACCATATCACGTAAAGGCAGTCACAATAATGTTTTCAAGATACTTAGTTGAAAAGCACAGCTGAATTCTGAATAGTTAAACAAAATCAAAGCTGACATGCCTAAAAAGATAATATATAAAACAAATGAGCATAAGAAATAGACAGAATATAAACAGCAAACAGTGTAAACATATATATTATATTAGTGCTGAAAATCAATTGGTTAATAACTAAACTGAGTGACCCACAGAGCTAATATAGTTTAATTATATTAAATGATGGGTTTAATGGCTAGGTAGCTGAGTAACGCGCCAAGTAATTGGGTAAATAGCTAGGTAATGGAGTAAATGGCTTGGTAACGGTGGTGGAGGAGGGCAGCATCGCTCAGCAGGCAGAGCTGTGGTCTCATAGTCAGAAGATTCACAGATTGAAAACAGATGAAACATTTAGATCTCTATTGTTAATAAGCTATAGAAAACATGTCATTCATTAGCAAATAGGTCAACAGTATTGATATTGTTAGTGTAACATAAACTCTTTGTTTACCCAGTGACATTTAGCCCTTATGTCGAGGTGATCTGTGCTATTCCAGGCTTCAGTAGGAAAACACTGGCTCTATGACATACAGTAACTCACTCTACAGCCAGTTATAGGACTTTCTCACCCTTATAATTAGTCATTATATAATATTAATCATCCTCGTAATCAGTGTGTTGTGTCCAGTATCAGTGGTGAAGCTGAAGTTTATTTAAAAAGCTGAATTGCAAGCATGAGGAGAACTTGCTATAAGAATAAGGCTATTGAGGTCCAGAAAATCAATAATCAATTCCAAAACAAAACTGCTCAGTGTAGTATAATATATATATAATATATAATTA